ACTAATAATTGTCTTGTAGATTTCTTGAGTACAGAAGAAGCTAATGCATGAGATCCTGAAACTCCAAAATAAAGGAAAAGACCTTATTCTTGAAGGTCAAAAGAAACTCATTGAAGGCAATAGCCAAATAAGAGAAGACCAAGAAAAATGATCAAAGGCTAGGACATAATGGATGAAGGCCATAATCTCATGGATGAAGGCCAAGAAAAATTATTAAAGGCCATGACTTATTGAATAAGGAACAACATGCCCTTGAAGAAATCAAGGACTTGATTGAAGAATTAAGAATTTTGGAGTAATTACTACTGTTGGAATCAGCTTTAAAGAATCTAGCCAGATGGCAAAGAAAAACTCCCAACAAGAGCTAAAAGAAAATTTTAAACAAGGTGATCCTTCAATAGGGTTACTTGGATAAAGTTTAGGGAAATTTGACTATTATGTCAAATACTCTCCCCCAAAAATATTAGCATCTCAAGTTGAAAAGTCGGCTATTCAAAATGCTAAAAACCATAACTTACAACTTCATTACTCAAGAAAGAAAGAAAAGAAAGTTACAATAATAAATACATTGTCAAAATGACAATGAGTGAAGAATATCTATAGGAATACCGCAAAGTTTGTAAGATGGCATATTCAATGAGGTCTATGGAGAATTGCCATCCCAAAATTAATTTCATGCATAGTGCAAAGCTAAGAGCAATAAAATAACTATTCAATTATAGTTTTGTAAACTGTATTTATCTCTCAAAAAGTAATGAAGAACTTTCAGAACTTATATGCCAAAGAGTAAAAGATTTCAACACTGGTACCAAAGCTCAAGGGGTAGTATTTGTCAAAGTCTACTTTGTAGCACCACAATGAGAGAAATTTCAATATTTCACCAGTCATCATATGGTTCAAATTGAAATTTAGTGTAAGAAAATCAAGGTAGAAGCAAATGAAGACCAAATTGTCAAGACTTTAAAGGGTCTCTTTGTGGGATCAAGTTTATCCAAAAAAGAAGAGCTTTAGGATTCAAGGTTTTACTCTAGACCTTTGACAGAATGTTAGAGATGAAGAAGACATGGACAAATGGCTTCTCCATTGAAATCTTGGTAGTATCCATTAGTGCGAGATTAATGACAAGCATCAGCTTGTTCAAAATAAAGTAGAAAAAAAAAAAGAGGAGATCTTTGAAAATATGGTCCCACCTAGTAAAGCAGTCCATAATATACTATGCAAACTGTTAAAGCACGACAATCATTGTGGTTTCTGCTATAAAAAACATTCTACAAAAGGAAAAGCTGAAGCAGTATATGACAAAGGAACCATTCTCTCAGACACTGAAGAGGATCTCATCATCCTTTAAAGTATCCAATACAAAAGGACGTAAGCTCTTACGTCTTTAGAGAGAAAGAAGAGTGTAAGCAAGATTCTATTTAATTTGCTTTAGCAAAAGCAAGAAGCAAGTTGAGACCAGTAGACAATAATGTAAACGTCAATAATTATGAAAGAAAGGATTCCAAGGAGCACTATAAAAAGCCTCCCACAAGCTGTAATAGGTAATTTAGCATTTAAACATCCAAATACCTTACCTAAAAGCCTTTTACCATGCATTTGTAAACACCTTTCAAGAGGAAAGGGAACTTTCCCTTTCTCTTCTCATAAATAAAAGCATGTTTTAGAATAATTCTTATGTTTCTATCCTTCTTCATTTCCATCATAAAATACAATGAGAAGATTCCCTAAAGAAACTTAGGTAGCAGTGAAGTCACTTGCCCTGCCTCAATACCTATTGCAACCTAAGTTTGGCATTGAGGGTTGGACGAAGGAAGCATTTACTTGACTTAAAGGCTAGACTAAAGGATTTTCAAGTAAAATTCTAACTCATTTATTGTATCATGCAGAAGCAAGGTGGGCATAAAAATAGCTTTATTATTTTTTAACATTAGATTATTTTTCAAATTAGAAATGTTCAGGAAATAGTACCTGACCTTTTATATTTTGAATAGAAAAGTCCACTGTTATATCCACTCATTATACTTTAAGATGCTTAATATCATTCAAGAAATTGTTGTTGATAAGAAAGTTTTTAAGCAGTAATGCGAATGTTATAGAAATAAAATAGTAAAAATTTTAGAAAAAATAAGTAATATTGAAGATGACTATCATTTATTCAAGAATCTAAAAAAATTAAAGCGAACAACAATAGATTTATTGAAAATCTAAAAAGATTAAAAAAGGCTAAGCAAAGATGATCTTTGTTAGCAGCGTAATAGATATAAGGAAAATGATTTGTGCACACCCGGGTCAACACCCGGGTG